GTAAGAGAGTGAACCGCTTGTAAAAAGTTGTAAGAGGGGTATTTGCCCTTCCATTTCAAGAGATTTGCTAGTGGAAGGTGGGAGCCTCATCGAAGAGGGGCCTCGCAAGTGGATGTAGGTCATTTGACCGAACCATTGTAAAATCGACGTGATCTCTGGTTTGCATTTACTTATTGCCATTTACATTACTGCAAACCATTTGTACTTTAATGCTCTACTTCTTGGTCTCCGTCTTACTTATCTCTTCAAGTTAAAACGCAATCAAAACGGTTTCAAACGAAAACGTTACTTTTATCTTACGAAGTTTATGAAAGTGTTTAAATCGTAAAAAGTTTATCACACTTTACCGCTGCACTAATTCACCCCCCCCCCTCTTAGTGCCGCTCCGATCCTAACAGATACGTGTTAGCCAATGCATCTTCACCCAATTGATTCCTTCACCCCTATTATAGTCACAATAAATGCATAGCCAATAATGACGGTTCATAACTATCTTTTTGGTATGATTTAAGTATCATCAAGTGCCTGTTTCTTCGGATATGTTCCTACTAAAATTGAATCAAATAAGTAAGATACGATTAGCCCTAATTTGAAATAAAAAGGTGCAATTATATATAATGAATCATACTTTGCCACCATAAACATGTCAATCAACTTATTCGGCATTAAATATATAGAATTGGACTCAATGTAGGTTAAATTACGATGAATTCATAATTAAATACACTAATCATAATATTAAAAAAATACTAATTACTCCTTAATTAGCCCTTTTTTACCATAATAAACATGTTAAATACTCTAATAATTATTAAATACATAAAATGATCCAATAAAAGGTAAAATTATGATAAATTTATCATTAAATACGCTAATCACAATATTATAAAAATTAATTAAACCATAATTAGTCCTATTGTACCATTATAAATATGCTAAACACCTTAAGATACATTAAATACATAAATTTGATCCAATATAGGTCAATTTATGATAAAATCATCATTAAATATATTAATCATGGTATTAACATAGTTAATTACCCCTAATTATTCCTCTTTCATCACTATAAGCATATCAAACACTCTATTTGACATTAAAGACATTTCATGGATTAAATCACCTATCAAGTATAAAGATTTGACATATTAAGTGTCTAATTTTAAAAAAAATCAATATTAAACTCTAATCATAATATTAAGAGCCTTAATTACTCATTAATTAATATTATTCTACCATCATAAAGACCTCAAACAACAGTTTAATATTGAGAACATAGAATAGGTTTAATCATCTTATAAATCATAAAAAATTGAGAAAAAAAATACATAACTTCGATTAGAGAGTTCTTCCTCTAACTTGGGTGTTAATCCTTCTTAATTAACCTTCTAAGCTTAATCCAAATCATAAATCATAGCTTTATGAAGTTTTAAGAGTGCAAAATGTAAATGAGATAAAGAAGTGAGTGAAAAAAACATAGAGAGAGTAGGAGAGTTTGAAAGAGTGAAAGGGGGTGAAAGAAGTGGAAGAAAGCGTTTGAAACTTCTTCAAATGGATCTAATTGTTGGAACTGGTTAGATTTTAGTCATTTCTATGTACCGCTCATATTGGTGGTATGTACCACTCATACTGGTGGTACCATATCATACTGGTATATACCGCTCATATTAGTGGTACCATATCATGACAAACATTGATATCAATGCTTCGTAATTCTTTTATTTTCCTAAGAATGGATATTTTACTTTGTTGAGTACATTATGTATCGAACAATTTATGTGAGGTTTTTGTTTGCCAATTTGGTGGCATTTCCTTTTTGTGAGTTTGCATGTTATTGACAAACAAGTCATCTTATGTGTTCTATAGCCTTAATGATATTTCATGCTTGTGGGTTTTAAACACGAGTGTATTTGGAAACACAAGAAGGATGACATCAGCTGTATTTTGGCAAGACCTAAGCGATTACGGATAAGAAACTATCAGATGTTATGTAAGCACGATATTGTTAATCCATCTCTTTCCTTTCTGAATTGCAAATTGGTCCTTTAAAATCTCTTATTGACTTGATGACTATGCGAGCAACAAATTCTCTTTGCATAGTGTTAATTTTGCTGTTTTTCATCACATCATAAATCTTTTATGTTATGTTCTATACTGTTTACTGCTAATTGGTACCAGTTTGTTTATGAAATGACAAATCTTGCTAACTGGTATTAACTTTGTTAATTCTCTTCCTACTGTTTTTCCTCACATCACAAATCTTCACATCACAAATCCTCACATCACAAAAGAATGTTAACGAAAGTCTATTTCTAACATAGCCTAGCAAGCCTAGCATTGACATTAATTTGTTGTGTTTTGATATAAAATTTACATCACAATGACTAGCTATATGTAATCAAAATGATATTGATCATTGTCAAAATATAACAAATGAATACTCGAGAATTGTAAGTTGTCTCCATCCTACTATAGTCAAGTAGTTCAACATTGGGGAGAAAGCTTTACTTATTAATTGGTTGATAGAGGTAAACAAGCCATTGTAAATAAATACTTGGGAGTTTAAAATTTAAAATTATTATCATATTTTGTCCTATTATAAAAACATTATTAGATTACATAAAATATTGCTTGATGGGTGCACTACCAATTTGAGTTACTAGATGAAAAATTTCTTCTAAATGTAAGCTTTATATATACATGTTCTTGAAGTGTTGATAGCATCGAGAAGAAAGATATAATTGGCTTGAGTTATCTGCCTAAATATATCGAATGGTAACAGTCTTGTCTTTGAAGTTATCTGCCTAAATGCATTTTATATTTGTTAATTTGTCGTCAATGAACTGTTATTTGATTATTTGTGAACATTGCTTCTAGTAAGTATAAGTCATGTTTGTTGGTTGCCACAATCTACTCTCAAATGGTTGAAGTTTTGCACAGTATCTTGCGAACCACACACTGCTAATTCAGTATACCATCTTCATCGAGATTTATGCTGATGCTTGATTCTCTTTCAATTACTTCGAAACAATGTTATTCATTGTCTTATAATTGTTAGCTTTTCGATTTTCACATCCCACATTTTATGTTTCATTATCATTACTCTCTGCCATAGGTGGATGGTGTATTTGCAAGTCAGTGCCAGAATTAGTAATTTACTCGCTGGCCTTTCTTACAACATAATACTCTTTAGCGTCGATTGATAAAGGTCATAACTTAACAAAATTAAATGTTATATTCTAATTTTAAATAGATAGAAAAAAAATTGCAAAATAAATTATCATATTTTGCATTTGTCTTATATAATATTTTGTTTGGTAGTTATACAAGTAAAAGGAAATTGCAACTATGATTCATATCTTATCCTAGTCATGTATAGGTTAGTATACTAAGTCAGTGTTGTTAAAGGTGCTACGTGCTCATAGCGAGGCACTTATCAATAAAAAAATATAATAAATGTGAATGACAGTAATTAAAATAAAAATTACATAGAATGTAAATATTATATCACTTCATAATGAAAATATCACCGTTAAAACATTGTTCATTCATGTAACAGCTAAGAAGCATTGAATTATTAAATTGACCAAATATAATAACAAAAGTAACAAAACTAAAGAAAATTAGCATCAAAAGTCCAAGAATTTTGATAAGAATTGTGACAATGATAATTTAAAATCCTAACAATACAATAATTAATATATTTCAGTGGCAGAAGGGGCAGCCATTGGGGGGAGAAAAAAGCTAGAAGAGAAGAGGGCATCGGTGGGAGGGGAAAGCTAGCTAAGAGCAAGTGAAGAGGTTGGGGAAAAAGCATAGAGAGAAAGAAGAGGGGGGATGGGGGAGAGGGGGAGGAGGGGTTATTGTTGGTCATCGGTGATGTTGAGAGCCGTCGGGAAAGTGATAGAGAGAGACGAGCTGGGTCGAGGGCGGAGAGAGGGAGAGCTAAGGGAGAGGGGAGGTGATTCTGTTGGGGAGAAGTAGAGAGCGGGGGAAGGTGGTTGTATCACTGGCCTTCGGGTTGTCGACAGACACTGAGAGAGAGAGAGGTACTGTTGTCAGAGGTGAGGGGAAGATTGCGGCGAGGGAGACAAAAGAGGGAGTTACTACAACGAGATGTGTAGGAGGAGGGGACAATACGACACGAGCATGAGGATTGATACCATTCATATAATTGGTTGGTTATTTTTTTTACCTCTTTCATTATTTTAAACCTCTCATTTTGTGCATTGAGAAAGAAAAATCTGGTTTTAAAATGATTAATGCAAGTGAATATGCCATTTCAAGCATTCAACTTTACTATGTCTTTTTTTTGGTTCTATATTGAAGTATGCTAATATTTTGTAATTAATTGTACTTTCTCTGTGATACTGCTTCGATCTGAGCTTCGCACTGTGGAGCATTTTTGAAAGTCTTCTCAAGATTGTATCTTGATCTTGTACGGTACTAAATATTTGTCCAGGTAATTTTGCATTCTATACAAAGATGTTTGTTTCACTATCTTGTCGGTATTGCATTGCAATCTTGGTATTTGTCTCAGCTCCTGATTCATGATTGACATGCAGCTATATTTGTTTTGTGATGGCAGCGAAGAGGGAATCATATGGGAAAAAGGGATAGAGAACCACCATACTAGAAGAAAAATGGGATAGAGTGATAGTGTTTGTCATTACCAACTATTTTTACTTAAAACAAAAATATACATAATTATTTTTATTTGTTTTTCCCATCAGTACTTGCAAAATCCCTTATAATATTCTAAAACTTCAGAAAGTCTGAATGTTGAATATTTTTATAAATAGATCACAGTGGATCCATTGTAGTGAATAGAGATTTTTTGGATGTATGCATGGTTGAACCCATCATATATGGAGAACTCATCCTTGCTTTACACTCTGAGCATTGTCAACCCTTCTTTTATGGTAGCTTTAGCGCTTATGAGGGATCATGAGGACATTTTGCTTAGTTTGTTTGCCCAGGATCTTAGCTTATAATCATTCTCATACAAGTTGGAGGTGATCTCCTCTTTGGAGGAGGAAGACTCTCTTTCATGTAGATGAAGCAGTATGTTACTCTTTCGTGGTCATTTTCATAAATTACTTGACTTTGGGGCCAATCATGTACTCTCTCCAAACCAATTCATAAAGCATGTCATATATTCAAAATTTATGACTTGGTATTAAGATATTATTTAATCACATGTTAGAACAACCATGCTAGTCAGCTTTGCTTTCTTCTTTTACTTCCCAGTCTTGCAAAGGGACAACATTTTTGTTCAGCTATTATAGGAAATTCTATACTTGCTCAAGTTGTTACAATGGATGTAGAATTTTCATAAGCCCAATTCAATTAACATTTATCTTTTACAATAGTTTGTTGGAGGGAAAAAAAAATGCAAAATTCATTTTTATATTAGCTTGTACTACTGCTCCCACCATTATTTTTATTGACGAGGCTAGTAAACTAAAAATATTGTTAATCTTCCATCAATGATGATTCTTTTGCATTTTCATGCTGATACTTCACACTATTATTTTTAATCTGAAGTGATAAACTATAAGTATCTGTTTCTTGATCAATCCCATATATGACTAAGTTTATCCTGGATTCTTATGTTCTAGGGTTTTTGCTTGTTTACACTCATCACTTTTCACAAACTGGGAACATCTCTCCTTTGCAAGAGAAAGACACTCTTTCATGGAGATGGGAGTTTTTCAGCAACCACTTTCTTAGTTGCTGGACTTTGGGGACAATCATGCACCCTCTCCAAATCAATTTGTAAACTGTCATATATTCAAAATTTATGACATGGAATTCAGTTTTATGTAGTTGCATATCAGAACAGCACACTAGTAACCTTTGTAACTGAAGCTTCCTTTGCTTTCCAGCAATGCAAACGAATATTACTCGTTGATTATGCTTGCTCAAGCTGTTACAATGGGTGTGGAACTTCACGAAACCCAATTCTATTAACATTTAATTTTTTACAATAGTTTTTAGAGGGAACATTTACGTAAAACAGTGTTTATATCAGCTAGTATGACTACTTCTAGCATTTTCTTTTAACAGGGTTAGTGAACTAATTATTGACCTTCCAGTAGCAATGATTCTTCTGCATCTTTGTATTGATATATTATTGTTCTTAATAAAGTGATGAACTTGAAGTATCTATTTTTCGATCAATCCCATATAAAACTCATTAAGATTGTTGTAGATTCTTATATTGTCTACTTGAGCTGATTGTGTGCTTGCCCTTCGCATGTTGACAGCGTTGTGCAGGAGAGAAGATCAAGGAAAGCATGCAATCATGTGGAAAATGAAAAATAAGCTTGTAGTAAACTGGTGTGAGCTATGATGATGGATGGTTTTGGTACTTGCTAGTTGCTGCATCTATTGGTTCATTTGTCCTCGGCAGAAAATCGGAACTTTGACATATTCCAAGATTGGGTATTGGATTCCGAGGATCATGTTTTCTGATTAGAATCTTGCTGGAAGAGCTAAACATCTGTCTTCTTTCTCTCTAAACATTGTTTCCTTCTATTGGACTCATATTTTCTTACTATTTGATACTATTTTTGTTTCAGCAGTACACAAGAACCTTAAGCGATGTGGGACTGACGAAGTGCATTGATGAGAATAAGACCTGGTGGCTGCTTTGAAGCATTTTATTAGTGTCGAGGATACGCATTGGTGAGAATTGACCTGATGACTACTTTGGAGAATCTTGATTTTTGCCTGTGATACATGTCAACTTTTGCAAGCAGGTGGTTTGAGTTTTGAGTGTGGTATAATGAAATTCATGGATGCCCCTTTTATTGTCAATTCATAGATGGCAACAGGTCAGGTTTTTTTTATACTCATGCTTATCAATCAACTTAAGCTTTCTTGGTTAATGTATTAATTGGCTTTGGGATATATATATGTTAGGGAAATAGGTACTCTAATCGGGTGCTGGATGAGTTTTGGTACAAGTATCTTGCTTTTGCGATTGGATGGGTTTTGGCACATTGCATTTTGGATTCATGAATTGCTGGCATAACACTTTTTTTTGGTAAGTGCTGGCATAACACTTGCTAGGAAATGGTTCTTACAAATTGATTGATATCTTTGTGCAATAGTGTTTGGAAGGTTTTTTAAATTAGACTTAATGAGAAATAACTAGAGTTTAGACCATCATCTAACTTTTAATTTGAAGTGCATGATTGGGCTAGAGAACTTGGATTTAGTTATAAATCAGTATGCACATAATTCTAAAGGGACACAATGAAAATATTTTGATTTATGCATATCATTATCTATCGTATAGAATTGTTTTGTTTGTTATTTCAGTTCTTTGACATCTTAAAAACTTTTGAGACATCCATGTAGTTTGTACATGGCTTTTCACTCAGGCCCCTCTTCCTTTACAATACTCTCCACCAAACTACTTTTTTGGGATCTTGTAAACTTTTGTTTTTCTTTCTCATTAATACTGCCATGTGAAATCGAAGGACACTAAGGGACATATATAATCTTGTGTGGTAACTAAGAGGTAATTGATGGAGTAATACATACAAAATTTATTCTTGCATTTGAATAGTTGTTTTCTTAGCTTGATCTGATTTCTCTATTTTTTTTCCCCTCTTAAGCAGTGTAGTGCATGTTCTACTCTCAAATGGTGATTGTGCATTTTTGAGGTGATTGTGCAGCTCCCAAATGGTTCAAATATTGGACAAAAACTTGCATACTACATACTACCTGTTGAGGGTCCTGCTTTTGTGAGTTTTAAATTGCTAGATTTAATTTCTTTAAATTTTTTTAAAATAGTGTTATTCAGAATCTGATTCTTGTCTACTTTCTGATTTCCAGCTTTAGTATTTCAATTTCATTGTTGATCATTTTCAGTTATAGTTGGAGCATTTGGTTGATGATTGATATCCTACTCTAGATTATAACTAGGAAGCATATAGGGGTGCTCTTTCTTTGCACTCATCTCTGTGTGCTAGCCGAAAAGGGTGGTAACTCAAAAATAATCTAATGGATGAATTTCATTTGTAACTCAACAAAATGAAAGGATAATGCAACCAAGGTTGCATAAGCTTGAAAGAACTGATTTTGCATATATTTGATCCATGGTGTGACAAATTAAGCGGGTTGGTACATAATGGTCCCCACCATGGATCTTCGATCTCAATAAGCTTTGTAAGCTTAGGTTACCACCTGGTCTTTCTCTGGTTACAGGTCTCGACCATGCTATATTCCCTTTTTTATTTTTTTAAATAAAAAACTTTAAAACAAGCACCTGCCTCCCCTTCTCTATCTCATATGCATCGCCTGCTGCCCACATCTGTCAACGTCTAATGCCCCGGCCCTATCGATGATACACTGTTGTGCTTAATTTTAAGTGATTTACTGTAAAGGCTCTATTTTTTGATCAATCCCATATAATTCATTGAGTTTGTCATGGATTCTTATGTTGTCTAGTTGAGTCGATTATTTGCTTACCTTTTATGTATTAATGGTATCTTCTGCAACAGAGATGATCCAGGAAAGCATGTAAAATGGACTTTATGGTAAACTAGGGTGGGCTGAGAGAGGAATGATTTTGCTCTTTCTAGTTTCTGCCACTATCCATTCGATTGTCCTTGACAAAACAATGGAAATGCAATAGCATCCAAGATTGGTATTGGATCTCAAGCATCATGTTTGCTGATTAGAATTTCGTGTCAAGAGCTCAGCATCTGTCTTCTTTCTTCATAAACTTTTTTCCTTTTATTCAGCACTTTTCTTTAATATCTTATTGTTCACTATTCTAGTTTTAGGAGTACATGGGGACCTTGAGTGTTGTGACATGAAAGAAATGCATTGGTGAGAATAATACCTGATTGTTGATCTAGAGCATTTTACTGGCATTAAGGATATGCATTGGCGACAATTGACCTGATGACAGCTTTGGAGCATGATTTTGGCTTGTAATACATGCCAACTTTTGCAAGGTGTGCATACTCCATTAAGTCTTCATGAGAGGTTTCTCAAGGCATCACTTGTCTTGACTGAAATTCTGTATGGTATGTGAACTAAATTATAGGAATATTCTAGTTCAAAAGTTAGGATTTTAAAATAATCTAACTACAGGACACTAGATGAGAATATTCCTAAATAGAACTCACTTTTACAAACATGGACAACTCACTTGAAACTAATTTTAGGGCAGATTAGTGTGTTTGTTAATCTTGTTCAACCATGGCATGTATAAGATAATAGATGTTTGAGTCATTGAATTCAAGTCTGGCTACCTAGATGATCAAGTGGGTTTGAGCCTCACCTGTCATCATTCAGAGGTGGCAGTGGGTCGAATTTTTTTGATACTTATGCTTATCGATACACTTAAAAACTTAAGCTTTGCTTGATTAGGGTCCTTGCTAATTGGTATTGGGATATATATGTTAGGAGGTATTCTTCTCAATTGTGGGATGAGTTCAAGTACACCACATTTATTAGGATTTGGATTCAGGTATGGCAAAATATATAGGTATCCTTCCTTTTGCCATGTTGTATTTGAAGCGATGAGTCACCAACATGACACTTGCCATGATCTTACAAACAAATTCCAAAATGAACTTTTGCTATAGTATAACTAATGACTTCTATGCAAATTATTATATATCGCCTAGAATCATCTTATCTATTATTTAGTTCTTTGATATCTTATAAACTTTGAGACATTCATGTAGTTTGTATCAAGGTTTGGAGTTTTAATTACCGGACCTATGACGATCCATGCAAATCATCACATATCACCTAGAGCCATCTTATCTGTTATTTAGTTCTTTGATATCTTATAAACTTTGAGACATTTATATAGTTTCTATCAAGGTTTGGAGTTTCAATTACCGGACCTATGACGATCCATGGCTGGACTAGTATGGGTCTGGTTTGGTATACGGTGTGCTAGCACTCCAGAATATACCTTGAACAGTTAGGGGAAGGAGAGGAGAGAAGGAAGAATGAAGAGAAAAAATATAATTTCATTCAATCAATGACTCATGATCCGATTACAAGCCTTCTTCCTCTATTTATAGGTCCTAAGTATAAGAAAGAAAGAAAAATAATAAGTAAAAAATTACAATTGTATCAAGAATATACTTTTTCTTCTTTGAAAAAGATAAATTTTCATATTCATATTGGAAAATAATCTTCCTTTTTTGATGTTTATAAGTCTCTCAGTTTGGTCGCTAGGTGAACTTTTTCCTCTTTTTTCTTCACTTTCTTTTTGTTCTCCTTGATCAGTCTTAGAAACATATATACAATTGTAGGGAATTGCCATGTGGCAACATATAAGTTTCCCTAAAGATATCTCTAACTTATTAAAATTATTTCAAAGACAATGATAGTAGCTAGATTAATATTCAATAGCCGAACTGGATCCTGAGTTTATGACTAATACAAAGGGACCTGGTTTTCCTTTCTTCTTTCCATGTTTAACATAGTCTTGGACAGTGTTATATGGCTTAAGTTTGTACTAAAAGGGCTAGATATCTTTCCATTTTTCATAAGTGTCTATGAATGTATAACTGTATAAGTATGATTTGAGTTAAACTAGTTAAACTAAAGAGATCTCCTGTACAAATAACAACTTCACCTAATTGGGTCTTTTTTTGCTTTGAGAGAGGATCCTCCATGATATCTAAACTTACGGGAAGAAAAACTAAGAAGTTACTAGAAGATAAAAAGAAAATCTCAAGCATGCTTTGTGGCCTACAAACACTTTTGTTTATTAGGGTTGTGATAATCATTTTTATTATTTTGAAATCTCATCACCCTAAAAGGTCACTAAAAGTAAGGTCTTCAATTTCGAATAATACCGTCTGGTATGGGTAGTACGTACCGGTCCGTCAGTAAACCGGTACATAGATCGCCCGTTATTGGATGATATATATATATATATATATATATATATATATATATATATATATATATATATATACCGAACTGTATACCAAACGGTATCCCGCTCGGTATACAGTACCGTACCGAGCGAATGTCGAAACTCCGGTACGGTACGATATTTCAATCCTTGACTAAAAGAGAAGTAGAACTTTTTCATATATGATTTCCAGTAGCTATGTCTATGTTGGGACTCCTAGACACAGTTAGATCCAAACTATAACCATAAATTTACAATATAAATATGATATTTTCTAAAATCTCTATTTTCATAGTATGCTAAGAAGTTTTTCACAATGAATTGTGCTTTTGTTGACAATCTAGTAAGAAAGTCTTGAATGACATAATTAAGCACCTTGTAAAGATGTGATTACTACCTGGTTCTGGTGATGCCTTTACTGGCCATTCTAACTTCTCTTTTTTATTTCCTGATGAGTTATCTTTTCTTGAAAAGACCTGACTGAGATTTTTTTTCTGTTAATGTGGAAGCATGTTGGGAATAATAGGGCCTTTGGCCCTAATTGTAGATAGTCTTTTGTCTTTGTCGCTTCTCATCTTCCTATTAAACATCTTCATCTGAAGTTCTACAAGGAGCTCAACCACGTATTCGCAAATTCATCATTTGTTATTTAACTGCCCCCAACTATCTTAAACAAGTTTCCTAATCGTTTGAACAAGAGCTTATCTATTCTTTTTGCCAAACTTAGGTTGTGTAGACAAGGGTTCTGGTCCTTATCAACTAGTCCATCTGATTTGTAAGCTAATTTAACATCTATAAATGTTGGAATTGGTATCCAATTATCAATTGGATGGATAGGTTTATCAAATTTTATTTATTTTATACAATTCGCAGATATGAAAATCTCTTAATTATTATATTAGTTATTATATAATTCATAGACATGAAAAGCTCTTGTACTTTATTTAGTTATTATATTATTATACAGTTTGTCAGCTTATGATTTTGGGAATTCAATTTTCTCTGTTTTCCTTTATTACTTAAGATAGCTTTTGAAATCTATCAAGAGACTTTGATAAAGGCTATTGTAAACCAATTTGGGGTTAGATTACCCATAAGACATTGCTTTACTACATGGTTTAAGTTTCATTGCTGGATGATAAATTAATATTAATCATCTGATACAAAAGAAGAGAAAAAAGGAAACTACTAAAATGCTGCTGTTATATCTTCAGTTCATACTCGTAGTCTACCCATGTGCTTTGCTACATCAAGATTCTATTGTATTTTGAGAATATTTTGCAACTTGATGTTTCTATGAATCTTAGGGATCACAAAGAATATCTTCCAGGGGCATCTCAAATCTTAATTTGAGTGTGTCTCAAAGAAGATGGGAGAACTAAATATCAGGTGTCTTATCAAAACAATTTTTTTGCATTGGGGATGGTATACAAAAGAAACTAACCTTAACAAGTAAAATATTTAAATACTTGAAACAAACTTGCAGTCTCCTAGACATTTATTAAATTCACAGATTTTTTACTTTTGAAGTCTTTATTAAATAGAATTCATACATATTATCTAACAACCCTAATGAGTGAAGAGATCTTGGAAGGATCATTGTTGGATTCTTTGCTTATTGAGCTTAATAATTACTGCTCTTTATAATTGGGGATGGTATACCATGTAATACTATTTTCGACAGACACTTCAAGAAGTCATACTTATGTAGATGTTTCTGTAATTCTTAGTCTCCAAGATGTTTCTCTTCTCTTAGATTTAGCATTCTTAGTTTTTTTGTCCTTGGTGTCTTTGTTCTACTATATATCATTTCACACACACACACAATGTCGTCTAGCAAGATTCATACACTATGTGAATCTCAGGAGCTGGAATCCTTAAAGAGTTCAATTTGCAAAGAGCTGAATTTGACATTGAGACTGACAAGCTTTTGCCCTATCTTATTAATGATGATGTGTCATTTTATTCCACATCATGGAATGCAACAAAATGAATTTTAACTTGCTTGAGCAGTCAAGCAAAGAACAAAGTATTACACAGAAAAACACATCTGAATCTCGATAAAATAAAAAAAACTGTATCTATTACTATTCATATTATTGGTGATTATTAGTTCCACTCTTTTTTTATCTTATTTGGTCATTATAAATCTCTTGTTTTGTGCATAGGGAAAGAGAATTTGGGCTTAAAATGGTTAATAGGAAAGCAACATTCAATTCTCTTAATGGGTTTCTTCGATTCTGTAGTGAATATTGGGTGACGTTGATGTTTTATAATAATTGTGCTTTGATTGTATGAGTTTTGTGTTGAGGAGCTCTTGCTTCAATTGATTCTTTTGCAGTATTATGAATATTTTGAATGTCATCTCAACTAATAACATAGGGACCATACTTCTCAACTGTAACGAATCTCTCCCCTCTTTCCTTGTTAGTTCTTCTCTTATTAAGCTGTGTTGGATCCTTCTTGCTGTTGGTGGTTCTTTATACAGTGTGATTCTTTTTCGTTGGATTACTAGAGATCCTTCTTGAATCCTTTGAGCAAGAGTGTTAGGATCGAGTCGGCACTAAGAGGAGAGGTGAATTAGTGCAGCGGATAAAAATGTTAGTTTGAAAAATCTTTTCGTTCGATGAAAATCAGAAAGATAATTTGAAATCTCGTTCGTAAGGTAGTGAAAGTAATAATTCAGTTTGCAATTAAAGTAAAGAGCGACATAGAAATGTAAACTAGATTTTTATAGTGGCTTGGTCGTTGTGACCTACATCCACTCTCGATTCCTCTTCACTCGAGGCCATCGGCTTCCACTATCGATCTTCCTTCAATAAGCGAAGATCAACTATCCTTTTATACCTGATTATCTTTTTTACAAGTTCAAGAGAGAATCTTTACACCTCTACTTATTCCTCTCTTAAACTACACTAACACTTATAGCTTTTAGAGGA